GAGTCGTTCTCCGATTGGTCCATGGAGTTATGGCGAGGGAAGAGATTCATTCCTTTGCATGATGTCACCGCGTCGGTGTCCTGAGTGGTGTTTAGGATTCAGCTTTCATGCTCCTGTTTATGTTGGCTTATCGCACTGAGCGATAGCGGTTTCTTTGGGTCGATCCGAGATCCGTCGATTTCGAGACTCTCCAGCAGCACGCAGCATTCGGCATTTTAATTATAATGTTTTAACGCTCGCGAATATGCATATGCGCACGTACTTACATCTAGTAACATAGGGATATAATATCTAGTGATGTCTGAAATCAGACAAGTCGGCCTCCCGGTCTATAATAATATATTGTTAATGTTCTAAAATAGATCCGGACGTTACAGTACTAATGATCTATTCTTCAGCTGAACTACAAAATTGATGCAATAAAGGCGTTTTTTCGTTTCGTGACTACGACACCGTTTGGTTGGTTGGTTTGGTCTACTTAATGCTCGCAACGCCTCGAGCAACCAGTGGTCTCAGACCACTATTATGGGCAAGTTTTTTAATTCATCGATGGATCCATTGCATGATGCGTAAAGCCCATTCTACAATTGCGTGAACGTGGTTGTAAGAGGTTGTAAGTGATTACGACACCAATCAGAATAAAGCAATCAGTGAATAAAACATTCGGATTGGTTGACTCTTACGTTCACGACTACGCTTACGCAATTGTAGAATGGGCTTAAATACAGCGAAACGTTGCATTTGCGCATCACACACATGCGATGGATCCATTGATGAATTAAAAAACTCGATTTATATTTTAAAAAATATTTATACGCATTTCTTTTGAAAAATCTGGCGGTGTAATGACCTTGTTAATAACGTAAAGAATAAATAAAAAATAGATTTCCTTGCAAACATTGCGTCTCTAAAGCAGAATATCTAATCTAGTATATGATTACACAAGCGGCGCGCTACAAGTTGCATATGCGCATATTATATTTCAATAAATATTTTATGCATTTTTTCTGAGAAATCTGGCCCTGTAGTGACCTCGATACTAATATAAGGAACAAATAAAAAATTGTTGTTGTAGCAAACATTGCGTCTATGAAGCAGAATATCTTTTCTACTATATGCTTACACGAGTGGTGCGCTACAAGTCACATACACGTCTATTATATTTCAAAAAATATTTATACGCACTTCTTCTGAAAAATCTGGCGATGTAATGACCTCGTTAATAATGTAAGGAACAAATAAAAAATAGATTTCATTGCAAATATTACGTCTCCCAAGTAGAATACCTAACCTAGTATATGATTACACGAGCGCCGCGCTACAACTTGCATACACGTAAATTTCAATAAAAATTATATACATTTCTTTTCTTCTTTTCAAATCTGGCTTTGTAGTGACCTAGATAATAATATGCGCGTATAATGCGTATAAATATTTATTGAAACATAATATGCGCGTATGCAATTTGTAGCGCGCCGCTCGTGTAAGCATATAGTAGGAAAGATATTCTGCTTCATAGGCACAATGTTTGCTACGACAACAATTTTTTATTTGTTTCTTAATTTAGTATCAAGGATTTTTTAGAAGAAAGGCGTATTCAATAAATATTTATTGAAATATGAAATGCATGTATGCAACTTGTAGCGCGCCGCTCATGTAACCATATACTGGGTTAGGTATTCTGCTGGAGAGATAATGTTTGCTACGAACGTCATTATTTATTTGTTCCTTACTTTATTATGAAGGTCGCTACACAGCCATATTTTCGAAATGAGTGTACATAAATTTTTATTTGAATATAATAGGCGCGTATGCTCTTGTAGCGGACGACGCGAACAAGCATATCCTACGTTAGGTATTATGCTCGAGAGACGCAATGTTTGCTACGAAGACCATTTTTACTTGTTTGTTATATTGTTAACCAGGTTGATGCACAACCAGATTTTACAAATAGTCATGCATAAAATTTTATTCATGTATAATAGAAGCTTATGTTCTTATACCATATCACTCGAGCAAGCATATTTAATATTACATATTTTACTATATCTTGCACAAATCTGTTCACGTACGTAATGAATATTATATTATTTTTTTAAATTATTTATTTACAGTCTTTATTACGCTTTTGCCGCCTCGAAAGCCTAGAAAACATTTTCTGATTGGACTAGGAAGCTCTGGCTGCTGGCCGAGGGAAAGGGGGGATGCGCCTGACGTCACAACTAAGGAGAGACAAGGATGGCGTCCAATAGTTTGTCTTTATCTAACTAACTTGACCCAACCTTCCTGCTCTTGCGCCGCGTGAACAATACGCTTGTATGAGACGTGTGTATAGACCATGTAGTAAGAGATAAGTGGTCTGTTCTTTTCAGCTGCACTGTTGAACTGGTGTAATAGGTTAGAGTGAGAAAATATATACTTATCTCACTTTAACTTATTGCACCAGTTCAGCAGTGCAGCTGAAAAGAACAGACCGAATAAGAAACCGAACTTGATAGGACGCGAGTAGAGAAAGTGGTCCTGATTCGTGTTCCTCAATTGAGAGGAAATCCGTTGAAAAAAAATTTGTAAAGCAATAAGTTAAAGCGAGATAAGATATACTTGTCTCACTCTTACTGCACCAGTTCAGTGGTGCAGCTCTTTAACTGCACCAATGAACTGGTGCAGTAAGAGTGAGACAAGTATATCTTATCTCGCTCTAACTGGTTACACGACATTTTCCCGAAAACTAGATGGAAAAATATTGGTACCAACAAAAACCCCTAAGTAATACAATTTCTACT